ACACTCCCAGAAAAAATAAATCGAATCAAATCCAGCCGGTTGACAACTAGGCCTTTGCGAGCAAACTGCAAAATAACTCAGCGTGACTTTATGAAATCATCAAAAGTTTTTCTGGGCTATTTGTTTAGGCAACTTGCCATGTGTCATCGTCTGTTCAACATCCCTAGCGAGCAGGTTTCAATTTTCGTAGGACTAGTTCTTGGCTTCTCTTTGAGAAACCGAGCAGAGTAAGCGGAGTAGAAATGCATGGAACCATGAAAACAAGGTTTGAATGGCATTATATATATATTTTTTGTGGGAAAATGGCATTTTATATGTTAGTCGAAACCCAAACGTGGTAATCTGGCCCGGTCTAGCCAATAAGGCCCAATTACATGTTTGGCGAGCTAACTGTATTTCCATCTGTAATTGCCAGTGATACTCGCCAAGAACCATTTCCACTTTGCTTCATATGCAAAGTGTTTGACATGCACACACACGGTTTTACTGATTCACATATGAAGAAGTACAAGTTTTACCTTCACTTCTCTTAAGGCAAAGATCTCACGAGCTTCCGCATTCTTCATTAACAAAATGGAGTACTTTAAAATTTAGTACATCTTATTACTCCCTGAAATATAGGTATTGAAACATTAAAAAAAATTCCCAACGTAATACATTCTAGGTGAATTAACTCCTGCGAAGCACCAATTACATATGTACCTTTTATTAGTATATATATGATATATCACCAGGCTCAAAATATTAGTAACCTCAAGATCTCTCTATAGTTAAGAGATGGTTACATATGTCATTTGTTTTACCTTATTTTCAGAACAGAGGGAATAATATGAATTTGAGGCTCCAATTAAGTTTCTACTTAATTCCTACGAGGCACGTTAGAAAAAAAAATCCTAAAAATGCTCACAAGCAGTGTCCAAATCAATATCATCATTATCCATTCTCATCATCCCCAATCTTCGCCCTGTTTGTTTGGGCTGGTTTGGCTTATAAGCCATGGCTGAAAGTATTACTGGCTGGTTTGGTGTGAGAGAAAAATACTGTTCGTTGGCTGATAAGCCATGGCTTATAAGTCAGATACGAGCAAGCGAACAGGCTCCTTATCCATACCCATTAGATAATAATCATTAATCAATCTTATCCATACTTGTTGCTTTGAGTTGAACTATTAGTTTCTATTACTATTTTAAAGATGGACCCCTGGAATGAAAGCATCGTGTTTATACCCTAAATTTTTTGTGACTTTTAACTGTAACTTGCTAAAAGTGACTCATTATAATACTATGTCACTTTGCGCAAATTAACAAGACTAGATCTATATGTGAGACCCATGTTAACACCGGACCCTAAAATTAAAAACCTTGTATTCACACCTATAAATTTGAGCAAAATTGATTAATTTGTTTAGATGATTCGGTATGATAGCAGGCTACTTTTTTGTACTGGTGCTGCTAGATTTAAATGTGAGCCCCATATTAAACGTTGGACCCTAAAATTAAAAACTCCACGTTCACACTTTAAATTTGTCACGGAATTGATTGAAAAGGATATGACTCATTATAACAAGCAGCTACTTAGTGCATATTGTGTGGCTAGATCTATATGTGGACCCTACGTCAAAAGTTAAACCCTAGAATTAAATTTCGTGTTCACACTTTATTTTTTTTTTGTTGAAACTAACTAAAATTTGTTTTAGATCATCCAATATAGCATTATATACTTTGTGCATATTATTGTAGTATAATAAGATCAACATATGGCTCCCATATATATTTCACATTGGAAAACCGAAGCTAAAACGAACGTTGTATTATCTGATCCACCCATTTGTACTAGTAGATGTTTGATCGAGCTCACTCCGGCCGCTTCTTCTCCACTGCCGGCATGCTTTCCGGCTTCCTCGAGGCGCGGAGGAGATCCTGACCAAAAAAAGGAAAATAAATTGTCCACTCGCACACGGGTTGGTGATCTGTTGCAGCAATCCTCTCAATACCTGAAATAATTCTATAGTAAGCTGCAGAGGGATTGATCGAACAGAATTTAGCCAGGCAAGCTCCATCTCGAAACTATGCAGAACTAGCACATATGTGATATGTGCATGACATTTCAGAAACAGTTTGCGGTCCTCTTCATCACCCTGCTATTGCAGATTTCGATCATGAACTGCTGTCTCATAAACAGACGGGCCCTTCTCCATGTCACAACTTGATAGCTTGGCATGTGCATGGATCAGAGGTCTCGAAGGCCAACAGATGAACCAGACCAACCACGCCTTTGTGATGTCAAGATCGAAGTGCCCAGCCTTTTTGGGTTCCATGTCTCAGCATCCGGCAAAGGAGCACAGCACAAGGGCCCATGCAGGAACAGCTGCTTGTGTGGGCCGTCTCTTTCCTGATCAAAGCGGTCGAATGCCCCATTGACACCGGGCCTGCCTGGCCATCCTCTGTGCATCGATCCATCCGGCGCTCTCGGGCGCTGCGCTTTGCGAGGGGCCGACGGCTACAAGACGCATGTTCCATGGCGCTTTTGCTGGCTGTGCAACTTTTATGGTGGTCTCTGGAATGTGTATGCCCTTTTGATTTTGAACACTGCTGAGCATGATTGTGCATGTAGTGATGTAGATCATGTGTATGGATAGGTCTGAAATGCGCTTTCGGTTTTTGACCAGACTGCTGTTTTTTTTTCCAGCATGATGCCCAGTTTGATAAAATGGCAGTGCTTGTCTATTTTTTTCCCAATATGGTTGGTTTCTGTGTTTATTTTCATGATTTCATCTCCAACAAGAACACATACTGACATACTGTAGCAACATAACTTTGTATTTTTGAACTTCCATTTTCCCTCTTGTCCAATGAGGCTACGAGTGTGGCTGCTTTAAGGAACATTCTGAGGTCAAGAAAGAAGCTCTTGGTAAGCTTTACTGAAAAGAAAGGAAACAGCAGAAGTGTGGCGTGGGGAGAAAAAAGAGAGCATGCCAATGTCTGATGGTACTTGATAGGGAGAGTAGTTAATCTCTTCCTGCCCAACCAATGAGCATCAGAGCTCATGGCTAATTTCTGAAATTTGACAATCAAAATACACAAAACTACCATTTTTTCTCCTCGTGCTTTATTATAAGCATGAACAAGGACTTGCTCTTACAAGTACTTCTAATGCAATGAGGGGTGGATAGTAGGAGAAGCAAAAGAAGCCTTGCCAACGTAGCATCAAAGCCATCAGGTTTATATTATGACTCAAGAAGGACACATCAGTAATTAAGAAACTATTATTCTCATCCTGGTTCCTGACCCATTTTCATGATGATCCCTAACGGCACGAGCACGATAGACTTGGCGCAAGGCACGAGTGGAATGTTAGGGTTTTACAAGGCATGATGAGGTCACACACTGCTCATGTGATGGACGGAACTCATGGAAGGCTGGCTGGCTTGGTGCTTTGTTTAATAGAACCTGCTGCGGGCAATTAAGTTACTGGAACCAATGCGCTTTCCGGGAAAGTTCAGCAATGAATTTAAGTGCCTAGGCTTAGCTCCTGGATTGCTGCCAAGCATGCTTCACTCTTATCATTCCTACCATTTTAGTTCTGTCGCTATGTCGCAGCTAGTATCATCAGGTGCGTCCTAATAAGCTGATGGACTTTTCCAAAGGCATCTATCCTACTTACTGCTTTGACGTTTTTACATTTTTAACTGGGCTCTTTTTAACTAGTACTTGGTATAAGTGTAACAATCTACCCTTCTTCTTTGTCTCGAACAATAGCACTTCCGGATTAGTCCATTTCAGCCTTTCAGAATCCATGTGTTAGAGTCTTACAGAGATGGTGTCAATGCAATGCTGTATATGCTGTGACACTGTCAGCACTTCAGTAGTAGGGGTATATGATATGGTGTAACTCATCGTGAGATGCCAAATTAAATGAAGCCACTACCACTAAGTTTTGGAGTGTCACCACTAGTCTATCCCAAACTGAAACTAGTGCATTGCTTAATTTGTTGAAGCTCTACTGCCTTTTCAGCGACCGGTCGAGCAAGCTTGTCCAGAGATGGCGATTCCAAGTTCTAGTAATAACTCCATAGCGGCGGAACTATGCGTGCAAGCTCGTGTATGATGAACGGCGCACTGAATTCATGAGATAGCAGCACGTAAAAAGCGAGGGAGCCTTTCGTGCCCGGCTATTGCGTGCCAAAGTGACTACTTGTTTCCTCGCAAAGGGATATATTACGGCGAAAGGACACGGATGACACAACATGACAGCGGCTTTCACCCCGTTTCACAAACTTTCTGCCGTTTTGCTCCCTTTGATCCCTTCTTTAAGTTTGTCAACCTTCCATTTTCCATTCCACAGCTTTTTTTTCAGTCAAAGCTTGTCGCCATGATGGATCCTCTATAGTAGCTGTAGTGGATAATGCTAGTAAATACCTAGTATTATATAGGAGATTAGCGTGCGCTCACTGGCATGTTTGTTCGTCGCCACTTCAAGCAAGATACATACAGTGCGTTTTATTTTTCATAATATCTGCTAGCAAACATACTCGTGCGTTGTAGTACAATTTTACACGGTCACATGGGTCAGAGCACATCAATAATGAGCTAGTTATCTTTGTCAGATTTAATTGGGTTTGGCCAACCATATTTCAACTTAATAAGATAAATTTTAAGGTTCATAATAAATGCTAAATATAATAAAGATTTAATTTATTCAGTATGGTAAATTAATTGATGATTGCCTCAGCCCAATGAGGGGCTATTGTATGCACTTGTCATGAATTAAAAAAAAAGTGGAAGGCAAACTACATGTGGACTCATGCAACACGGCACAGGCTTAGGTTGAGCAACGCCAACAATGTCTTACCGCTCTAAATTATAACCAACACCATGTTGGAGGAGGATACATTCTACTGGGCCCTCCTCCCAAGTCTACGTTTACCACCTAGGCCTTAAATTCCTGTTGTGGGTATATCTTTGCCACCCGTGAGAGCGAAAAGAATGGAGTAAGGAACGATGAGTCGAGGGAAAAAGAGGTGTGAGAGCGAGGGGCATATGAACCGAAGAGAAAGTGACAAACTAAGAAGGTTAGAAGAGTGAGAGATGAACAATACTATTTTTAGTACTCCATTAGATATGTAGATAACACGTATAGATAGTTTCTTAGTTCCACAGTTCTCTTATCATACACAGTAATCTTTTTATTGTCAGCATACAGTTTTTGTTTTTCCTAGAGGATTTATTACTTATCGTGCTCAATCTCCGCAAGACCGCAAGCCACACGAAGTAGCACCACAAAGAGAGGTCACTGAGAATCTGCAGTGGCCCAGGACGACCGGGCCGGGCCCATGGGCCGTTGATACCATGTGGGCCCAACGACGCTGCGGGTCCCGCCACCTGGCCCGGCTGCTCCTCCCTCCCGCGGCAGCGCGTGCGCGGCTGTCGGCCGCCTCGCCCTCCGTTCTTCCACCCCGTTCCCCACGCTCCACAGGGCCGCTGATTGAACAGACCATTTCTCACCCTACCCTGCTGCTCTGGGTTCCAGAACCAGAAGTGAACTGACATAAGCAAGGTTTGCATCTGTTAATTAACCCATAGTATTATGCATCTTTCTGCAGGTGTGGCCACTACTCATCCGTTAACCAATTGGGTGAAGCCTGCTTGCGAGTTGCTACTGTATGCATATATAAAACTGCTGGAGTGATCAGTACTCATCTGGGGCATTGTTTACTTGCTTCACAGGCTCTTGCATGGCGCTGCCCTTTCAGCTCATCTTTTCTTGGAACCGCACTTGGGCATGGCTATCTCCTCCGGGCACCATGTGGAGCTGTGGAGCGTGACTGCGTGAGTGACATGATGGACTGGTGCTTCAAATGGGAAAGCCACTTTTTGCTGTGGGTTAGTCCTTTTTAACACACAATTTGTCTGGTTCAGCACCCATCTCCTTCTGCTAACACCAGATTATTACTAGCTTCCCAGTGCAATTAGCTAGGGTAGGAGTGTACCTCATCCTCATGCGTGTGGTCTGGGGAGTGGGGACTGAGGAGTGAGGACGGAGGAACAGGAAGAACGGCTGGCCCTCCCACAGAGCACTGCACTGCAGTGACCAGAAGGAGAGTACCCAGTCCTTGCCCCCAAATCATGCATGATAATGAGCACTGACTGGTCCATGAATGGGGAATTTGTACACCTTGTAGCATATCAAAATGTTTCAGGACTGTTTCTTGCATCATCATGATCTGCTTAAAATAAAAGCAGTCAAACCGGAGTCAATCTTGGCGTGCACTGAGAAGAAAATCTTCATCACTCGGCTAATACAGCATTTCATGCCCTGATCCCATGTGTCTGATTAGTAGGCATTAATTTCACATCCAATGATCTGAGCTTGACATGTTAACAGCTTCCTTTTATCTAACAAAACATGTTAACCGCTTCAGTTGAAAGAACATGATGATGGTAAAAACCTCTTGTTCTATCACTTGGATCATGATGATGGTATTCTGGAGCGTCCCCTGCTGTACCTACCAAAACCCTAACCTCGAAATGAAAACAGGTGCGACGGTAGAGAAAAAAGGACTGTCCGGTGTAAAATGATTTAAAGCTGCTGTTGACGCATTGTATACACATTGAAAGAATAGAGGTCCACTGACGTATTGCTGTCGTCCAAAAGCTTATCTTTCACCTTACATTTGGCTCCAAAAGCTTGCATTCATCACCCTTTTTTATCAGACATTCTTTCACAGCAATTTTCTATTACCGCCGAATGATTACGCAAAGGCACATGCAATTTAGGCGGTGGTCCATTTCTTAACCCTGTAGGAGTAGTCCTGTTTCCCCCTTGTTCCTGAACCTCTGCAAGAACAGGGCCACAGTGATGTATGCTTTTATCGTTCGGCTTCGGCATGCCTAGTTAAAAATACGGCCACTGTGAAAGGAATCTTACATCATTCGTGTCTTGTCTCCTGCTGCTCTTTTCTTCGGAGTCCAGAGAGAAGCGGTTCAGAGAGACAGAGAGAGGAAGGAGCTGCACTGCATGCTTGCTCTGCTTGTGGAGTGGAGTGGAGATGGATGTGTATATAAGGGAAAGCCTGTGGCCTTTGGAGCCATACAATGATCAGAAACTGAGAGTCGCAAGCGCCAAGGAGTAGTTAGAGCTCAGTAGGATACAGTTTGTGAGTCACTTCTCTGACATCCACGGCCACGGGTAGCAGTTACACTAGGTGAGGAATGAACTCCTTCCTTTTGATTCCACTCTGATTTGCTCATCAATCTTCAATGCTCCCTTCAATCATTCTTAAGCTCTGGAAGTTAGGAGTGAGATGCTTTCAGGCTTACCTACCCTTCTCATTGTAGTAAACATATTTTGGATGACACCTTCAAATAACAATCACACTTATTTCAGTCTTATATTTTCCTTTGTACCCGTTGTCCTTCATTTCTCTTTCTTTCTTTCCTCTGCACGTAATGTTGCATTTCTCGATTTCAGTTCAGAAACTTACATTCTTATTATTGCATAGTACTCACCTCTTGGCTCTTGCTTAAATTCACTTCATTGCAGATTGAAAGAGATAGAGTGAGAAGCACTACTCTCACAATGCCCATGGAGCAAGCATTCAGGCACTGCGATAAAGACACGCTGAAGATGGCCATGCTGAAACATGAAGAGACTTTCAGACAGCAAGTAAGCTCAAATGCTTAGAGAGGTTTCCAGCATTTGAAGCTGCTAGTCTTCAGAATAAATTAAAGCACAGTACACTGATCGACTTCTTCTTCTCTGATGCCACAGGTTCACGAGCTCCATCGCCTATACAGGATTCAGAAGCTTCTGATGCGAGACCTCAAACGGGAGTACAACATAGGAGCTCTCGGCATGTGCGCCTATGAGCACCGCTACGCCGCTCGCGGCCGCGGCGGACACGTAGCAGCAGCGACGCCGACGCCGCGCACCGCTCTCAGCCTCGACGTCGTGGCGCCAGTCATCGAGTACGTGCGGAGCGCGGAGGAGGAGGACGACGACGAAGCGGAGCAAACCGACGACGATGCAGAGCTGGAGCTCACGCTCGCCGTGGGCGGGGGCGGGGCCAAGAAGAGGTACGGCGAGTACCCGTCCGGTGGGGAGAGTTTCTCGTCGTCGTCCACGGAGTCCGACGTGCTCACCGTCTCCGGCCGTGAGTGGCGTCAGGCGCGCGGCACGCCGTATCACAAGAGGAGGCCGGCGACTGGGCTGGACGTGGTGCAGGTGGAGGACGGCGTCGGGGTCCAGCCGCCGCCGCCGCTGCTGTTCCACTGGCTCAGCCTCGAGATGGCATGACGCGATGAGAGGAGGCAAGAGCACATTGCATGTGTTAGTTGCTGCTTGTAGTGTCAGGGTGTTGACTTGCTACTGTTCTTCAGTTGAATGCTTTCTGTGTGTTCAGGTTTAGTGATGGATCAAGTCTAGAAATCAAAAATTGACTAGTTGTTCAGGAGAATATGTAGGAGAGTCTTCCAAAGCATAAGGAGAATGTGGGGGCTTTTCAGACGGAGCTGTGTGTGCTGCCTTTCTGCCTACTGCAATCTGCGAGCTTTACTCTCATCGACGGCCGTGAATCCGTAATACCGAACTTCTGACAATTTTTACAGATCAAGTAAAGAGTTAAGTACATCGTAGGCTAACTTTTAAAACGTGTCATTAAGATCCATCGCTTTGAAACTGCAAATTTAAGTTCATAAACTTTTAAAGTAGTTCATCGTAGGTCGGTACTTCTTTATTTGTGGAATATATCCGACGTGACAATCCATATCATCAGCTAGCGTGCCCCGCTGGTCACGTGAGCTACACTAATGTGAGGACCAAGTAGGCATCATTTTTTTTCCCGATACCCCCCTATAGTTTCCTGCCCCTCCCTCTTCCTTCTTCCTTACCCACTCTCCCCTGTTTTGGACATCATCACGTCACTGCCATACCAACAAGCGGATCCAGAAATATTTTAGAAATTTGAACAACATCACATTATTCTCGATCTTAAGTCTCAATTTCTACACTATAGAACTTTGTCTAAAAATTCATAGGGACTCATTTGCATCTGTTTCGGGACAGGGGCTTGAGCCCCCCCCCTCACTGCTTGGATCCAAGAGTTGCGCCTCCCTCACATCGACGACAACAACTCAAGAATCCAGCTCCTGCACTGCAGGTGGGTTTCTACTAATTAGGTACCTAGGCTGCATGAAACAACGGGTGGTGCACCATGTACCAAAGCGGAGGAGCTAGATTCAGGATTTGTTTCAATATGCGTTGCACTACCTACCACTTTTTGTAATTCAAATTAGTAGAACACTACCAAAACTACCGTTATAGAGCGGAGGAGATGTATTATTGAGCTATTGATGTCGATTTGAGGGAGTGTGGCAATAGCAGTGACGTCCCGAACGCGCGCGCGCGAGAGAGAGAGAGAGAGAGAGAGAGAGAGAGGGGAAGAAGGAAGAGAGGGGGTGAGGTGGGAGGGAGAGGGAACCATAGGGGGTATTGGCCTAAAAACACCGCCAACTTGATCCTCAGAGCTCATGTGACCCGCATCCCACGCTACATGGACTACCACGTCGGACCTATTTCCCAAATGAAAGGGTACAGACCTACGATGAACAACTTTAAAAATTTATGAACCTAAATCTACAGTTTTAGAGTTGATGGATCTAAATAATACAACCCAAAAAGTTAATTGACCTATGATATATTTATCTCTAAACTGAATGAATGAATGAAAAAAACATGACCTGTTGCAAAATTAAAGGTGCTTTGAATTGAATGTCTGATATCCTGATCCCTAGAAATCTTCGCCACTTACTGATGAAAGCATGTTAGGGAACCTGTATACCTGCAATAGTAAGAGCTAATCACTAGCTCTAAGAACCTCTTGAATGATGTTAACTTTTAACAATAGCTCATACCAAAACTAGGCTACATTGACAACCTCACATGATCTTGAAATGTGTGTATGACTAGTTCTTAATTAAGAGTTAGCTTTTCTCTCTCTTCTATTAAAATATTAAATAAAATGCTTAAAGCTAACTCATAAGTCATTGTTGGACCTGTCCTTAAAACACTAGTTTGTTTCAAAATATTATAAGTTGTTTTAACTTTATCCTAAGTCATTTTTTTACTTAAGTTCATATAAAGAAAATCTATTAATATCTATAGTATCAAGCAAATGCAGTGTCAATTTGTGGTAGATTTAATAAAACTAATTTGATGTTGTAGATACTCGTGTAAAATTTAATTTTGGTTAAAAGTTGTCGAATGTTGATTTGAGATAAAAATTAAAACAACTTACATTTTAAACCGGAGGCATTAGCTTATGCAAACTCTTTTACTCGGTGGTGTTTGAGCTCGTCTTCTTCTTCTTCTTTAAAGCATGAGTTCATCTTCTTTTGGACCTGTTTATCAGGAACCAGGAATTCAGATTAAGAAGAAAATGGCTACGGCCTCAAGTCGGGTGCCTGAAAATCAATACTGATGGAGCTTTCATGGAAGCGGATAAGAATGGCGGATGGGGATATGTCATCAGGGATGATGGAGGTTGGTGATCCAATCAGGTTCAGGAAGACTATGCTATGCTTGTTGCACTTTGCATATGGAGCTTCTTGCTTGTGTAGAAGGAGTGAAAGCAGCAATGGTTTGGGCATAAGAGACATTGTCCTTGAATCCTTGCAGTCCAAGTGGTGGAAGCTCTCCTCGGTGATGATTTCAAGATTGTCGATTTTTGGTGGTGTAGTGCATGAGTTGAAGGAATCACTAGCTGAAAACTTTTTCTTACCTCAGATTAAGTTTGTACCACGTGAATGTAATCGGGTAGCGAACGAATTAGCCTCGATTGGGAGTTTGGGTACTGAGGGTATACCCTGTGTGATCAGTGGCGGACCCAGGATTCAGTTATGACTAGGCCCAAATTTCAAAGGTGAAATACCAATCGCTACACCATAATCTATATGACTATATATATATGTGTGTTATACTGGTCGAGAGCAACATGATGTTAAAGTTCTAATCCTCTTCATCTTCTAAATAAATTAAGAAATCTATAAAATTATATTCTAGTTGGAATCAAAAGTTCAAACTCTACATAGAAATGACAAAATTGAAATTGTAAACCTAGAAGTTAGAATCAAAATCAGCAGAGAATTGAAATAAAGAGAAGAAATCCCTTCACTCTTCCTATTCCAGAGTTCCTGCTCTGCCAGCGGGGCTCCGACCGACGAGCGATGGCGCAGCGAAATTGGAAATTAGAAATTTGGAATCAAAATCAGTTTCATGTCTAAATCTAACAAGGGAAGCTTGCTCAGTTGCTCTACTCGCATGCAAGGAAGGAGCCGGGCAGCCAGCAGCGTCACAGCGGGCAACGGGCGGGCGGCCGGCGCCGCCGCGTCGGGCTGAGGAAGGAGCCGCGCCGGCACCGCCGCAGAGCGCAGAGCGGAGGGGGCGAGGCCATTGAACCGGAGCGCGGAGCGGAGGGCTGGAGGGGGTGACGGGCGATGGGCGACGGGCGGCGGTGGCAGTCACGAGTCTCGCGAAGCGAGCAAGCTACGGAGCGAGAAGGTAAGCCCCGAGCAGCTCTAGTGCTATGTTGCCCTACTCTATTGCCTGGGCTGCTTGTGTTGGGCTGCTTGATGGGCCAAAAACTGAAGACCTGTTCTCTTGTTACATGGGCCATGACTAGGGCCATGGTCTCGGCTGCCCTAGTGCTGGGTCCGCCCGTGTGTGTGATGGCCGGAGTGCCATAATGTATCGTGACTTTGAAGGAATTAGCTGGTGTGGCTGTTTATTGGAATCATGCATTCCTCTAAAAAAAAACCCATATCAGATGTTCAAATGGACCGCCCGGACGCCCGGCAGCACGACCCTGCTGCCACTGCAATAAATGGGGCAGCATGCACCTGTATGAAAGCGTCGTCAGCGAACAATCCACCTATAGCGACGAAAAGCCAGCAGATTCCAGCGCCCGCCCGTCCCAGTCCACCGGTACGGTATCCAAACGCAGCCACGCTAAAAATTAAACAAAGCCCGACGAGAGATTCGTCTCCACCTCCTCCTCCCTCGTCTCCCTCTCCCCCCTTTCCGCCCGCCGAAACCCTAGCCCGCCCCGCCTCGCCGCCGGCGATGGGCGCTGCATGATCGGTGCGCCCCCTTGGAACCGCCTGCCTACCGGCATCGCCAAGCCCGCCGCCGCGGCTGCCGTCGTCGTAGCGGCGCTCGCGTCCTCCTTCCTCGCCCTCCCGCGTCCACGCGCTGCCGCCCCGCCCCCCGCGGGATCCGGGCTCCTCATGTCGAAGGCGAGGGTCTACACCGACGTCAACGTCCTGCGCCCCAAGGAGTACTGGGACTACGAGGCGCTCACCGTCCAATGGGGGTAAGCGCTTACGTCACGTCACATTCTAACACCACTTGGCGCAGTTTGCACGTTCGAGTTTAAGCTTTTCGGTTGATTATGCCGGGGATTAGGTGAGATCGTTAGTATTGGCTGGCCTGCTTGGCTGCTTTTGGATCATCTTGGCTGGATGGCCTGGGTGAGCAGCATAATCGTTTTATCTGGGTACAGTTAGGGCTGTATGAATGTTTTGTTAGGAGCATAAGATCCTAATATTGATGCAATATCACAATAGTGCCCATATTTTGAAAACTGAAGTGACTTACTTCTTATGTAGCTGCAACATAACCCAGATTTGTTCATTGTCGACCGTGTACTGGCGGCATGGTGTTTATCTCTATCAGGACAATTTAATTCTTTTGCTATTTTGCTTGGTTAGTTAAGGTGCATGTTCCTTTTAGCCTTTGTTATGATTTGGCTAAATAGTTCCTTGTGTTTCGAGGTTGCAATTACTGTGCATTGACCCGTAAAAAAGTGTATTAAATGTAACATCACATGTGTTGATTCTTGGTGATAGGACTGGGCTTAAAACCTTTTTCTTTTTAGAATTAAGGCACAGCTGAACTTTTCACCAAATTGGGAGTATGAGGCATGTGGATCACCAAACATGCTAATTCCAGTCACTAAATGTTTGTGGATGTCACAAATTTATGCGGCAACACCTTAAGCAACAACCAAAAACATGTAGCTTATTGTCCCATTCCTACTGGAAATCATCTACACCATGGCATTGAGACGGTAGTTGAGATCTGAGACTTATTGGAAGCACTTTTCTGTTTAGTGACACCGAGGAGGTGAACTGTTTTTCTCTTCGTGCAGAACTTTATTTGAGTATGTAATGAGCTACAGTTCTTGCAAATGGTTTTCCTAGTTTGTGGTGAAGTATTACTGTAGTAGTGTCTTCTTGATAAAAAAACTGAAAGAGGTGGTTACTTATTCGCTGTCTTCTTTCTTATGATACTTGTGGAGAACTTTAGGGAAAAAAAAACAAAAACTTTTATTTCAGCAATTTTAGTTAGAATGCAGGTCTTATCCATGGAACTTGGGAACGGCCTGGCTGACCGAGTGGTCAGTGCAGGCTCAGTACCTCCCCCTTGGGGTGGTCAGAGTTCGAGTCCCAAGGGACTCACTCTTTATTTGTGGCTTCGGCCACAGTGACCAAGGGGAAAAAAAACTCCCTCGTCTTCCCCACATCCAAAGCACAGGTCTATGGCCAGCTCGTCTCACGGAGCTGTGGTGCCGCTGTGTATGGGTGGGGCAGGGGTTCGGGGGTTTTCTCGATCTGCGTGGTAAGATTTTCTTCTTAAGCCGGAATACCCGGGGCTGTCTAGCCACCGCGGATCGAGTTTTTTTATTTTATTTTTTTATCCATGGAACTTGCACGGACAGTACAGATTAAATTTCTATTCTCCAAACTCTAATAACGATCATTTAAATCCATCTTTTTGGTCTGTTTAATTATTCTATCAATATTTCCGGAGCACTCAATATTTTCAGAGCATCTGTTAGCATATTACTAGTTCTGTATATCTTTTGAAGTAATGTTTCCCTAACCATTGTGTATCTCTTTGACCAGTGAGCAGGATGACTATGAAGTTGTCAGGAAAGTTGGAAGAGGTAAATATAGTGAGGTCTTTGAAGGCATCAATGTTAACAATAATGAGAAATGCATCATTAAGATCCTTAAGCCTGTCAAGAAAAAGAAGGTACTTAAAGGAATATTCTGGCTGTTCTTTGCAACAGTTTTCCTTGCACATTCTCTTTTCTAGTGATCTCACAGTTTTAGTGATAGGTGTTGAGTGCTGAAGAGTTACTGCTTATGAAAATAGTCATTTCCATGGTGGGTCTCTTAACATACCCTTCGTATGTTTTGGCAGATCAAAAGGGAGATCAAAATACTTCAGAATCTCTGTGGAGGTCCAAACATTGTGAAGTTGCTTGATATTGTCAGAGATCAGCATTCAAAGACTCCCAGTTTGATATTCGAATTTGTCAACAACACGGACTTCAAAGTTTTGTACCCCACATTGACGGATTATGACATCCGCTACTACATATATGAGCTACTCAAGGTAACGGTTGCCATCTGAATTATTTGACATGTTGTCATTTAGACATTACATTATTTTTCTTGTGGAAATAGTTTCAAGTAATTTCTTTCTTATTTGGCTAAGCTTCACTAGACACAGTTTTCATGTAGTATACCCTAGTTTGAATCAATCTGATTGCTTGAAATTCTTCCTCTCTTGTCTCTGATCTCTGCCCATGAATGTTTCACAGTTACACACTTGCCTGTGTTGTATGGCCATGGATTTCTGAAAACACCATCTTTGGAGTTGTAAATTTGTTGCAATGCTGTTGACAATATATCGTTGATAAGCACGAATTTAATGTTTAAGAATCTGAGTATCTGATCAGTATTTCATGTTTCTACTGTTTTTCTTCTGAAAAATAGTTTTTTTTAACATACTCACACTTTTATGTTTTAAAGATCTGCTTTATTTTGAGTTTGAAGTGAGAACACCAATGTATATGTAGCTCTCCTGCATGTTCGAGAAAAAAAAAGAGAGCTCCAATGTGCTTTAGATCTTGTGGCTGTCTGTCCCTATTTCAACTTACTACTTGCTATGTTATAATTATTTCTTTTAATTCCAGGCTCTAGATTACTGCCATTCTCAAGGTATCATGCATCGAGATGTCAAGCCCCATAATGTAATGATAGATCACGAGCTTCGGAAACTTCGCTTGATAGACTGGGGCTTAGCTGAGTTCTACCATCCAGGCAAGGAATATAATGTCCGTGTTGCATCGAGGTAGGTTGAGACATGACTGAACAGCTTGTTTACCTATGCTTTTCTTAATTGTACTTAGATTGAATTCCATCCTTCTAATCACTTGCGTTTTTGAAATATAACATGTTAAGAGCAGAACTGGTTTAGTTCGCATTTTTTTTGTTTGGATGTAGATCTGTTATTCTAGAGTCTAGAAGCAACATTGCAGAGAGACTCAATTGATTTGAGTTCACTTCTATGTGATTGTAGTTCTGAAAGTTAAGTAATAAAGTTAATGAATCTTAAGAACAAGCAAATCGAGTGAATGGCGTAAAAGCACGCTATAATTACTCTGTTTACTTCTATGCTAGCATGCTATCCTTATGCGCTGCAATTTATTTGTATGAATTAACAAATCACATCTAATTCTCAATATTGGTCCATGCTTTCTTTTTGACATCTGACCTGGGCATATTTTCCCACTTTGATTCAGGTATTTCAAGGGTCCTGAACTCCTTGTTGATTTACAAGACTATGATTATTCTTTGGACATGTGGAGTCTTGGCTGCATGTTTGCTGGAATGGTATGTATGACTGTAAAAATGTTGTCCTTATGTTAATACTATTGGACACAATCACACAAACATTTTGTCAGTTGGTGGTTGGTAACTCATTTTTTAATATGTTTGCTGACTGGATGGCTGCAGATATTTCGCAAGGAACCATTCTTTTATGGCCATGACAACCATGACCAACTTGTGAAGATTGCAAAGGTAAGCATTAGTTTGATTGTTCATTCCACATGTTTCTGGGATAAAGTAGATGTTTTGGTATGAACCTTAGTATGCAATCCGTGGTTTGACTGTTTGTTTAGAACCAAGGGTTCAAATTATATGCATTTTTCTTCTCTGATGTTACACTCTGTTCTTTTGCTATTATAATTATCAATGGTTCCTTAGTAATTGATGTTCTGTAAGAAAGTATATGATCGCTTTTTTAACCTGATGAAACTGCACCCGTGTTCGGTATGTTTGTAGGTTTATTATGTGTTCCGTATGTTATTTATGTGATATAATTATCCTTATCCATATCAAAGTTTGGATAAAGCTTATGGAACAACCTGCCATCATAGAAATGAGTTCAGTTAAAGGTCCGTAGCAGATAAATGATACAGCACCAGATTAACTCCCACTCTATCTCAACATGAAGCGTGTATTGTTTGTTGTCGATGGCACTTACCTGATTTAATCACTGTTGAACTTTGAAACATTGAAATTAAACTCACAGCCAAGTCACGTCTGCATGTTTATAGCAAGTTAGTAACTGGTGTCTTGTTTCCTTTGGTCTGCGTAATGTGATATGGAGTCTTTGCACCAGACCTTAATATTGCAAAGCTATAATGTTAATATATTGTACCTCATGCTTAATGCAGCACTCAGCATCTGCCTGAGCTCATAGATAGCAAGTCACCAACTTGTGTGTACTTAGACTATGAATAACTGAAAAATCCTCAGGAAGTTCTAAAGAGCTTGCCGTGCTTGTTTATTTGATGCTTATCTGATATGCAGCAATAGGCGTGAGACATTAAACACAAGACAGTCTGGTGCAGTATCTAATTCTGTCACCCTCCCATTATTTTTCAGGTCCTTGGAACAGATGGGCTGAATGCTTATCTGAACAAGTATCACATTGAGCTGGACCCTCAACTTGAAGCTCTTGTTGGAAGGTAAATTTCCGTTCCTTGAGATGTTGGATCCTTTTGTTTAGATGGATTATAACCCTTCCGTGTATATCATATGCAGGCATAGTAGAAAACCCTGGGCGAAGTTCATCAATGCTGACAACCAACATCTAGTATCGCCTGAGGTTTGTTATTAGCGCTTGGTATTTCTGTTATTTCTACTGTAAATGGTTATTGCTCAGTATGATTCTGTGTATATTTATAGGCCATTGATTTTCTCGATAAGCTTCTGCGCTATGATCACCAAGATAGGCTTACTGCACGTGAAGCTATGGTAAGCCAGACTACCTTTGCAGATAACGGTGTTGCTATTTAGATCTGTCCTGTCACATATTATCACACCCTGTTGCATTATAATTGATTAACTAAATGTACTGTCATTTGGTAACTTGCAGTAATTTACGTTGCAATCACATTCGTGTTTTAGGTGTTTATAAGCTGCGCTTAATGTGTGTTCACTCATACTTTATTGTTTTTTCAGCAAAATATTCTGAACTTTGACATTTTAATCCAATAATCTTGATGCCATTTTTACAAAAATAGTGCGAGTAATATTTTGTACCACATCAATTTGCATGCATGTTACTAGATATTTGATGCTCAGTCTCACCCGGCTTTCAATGAACAATTTCCTATCGTCAAGTTTTAAAAGAATAAGCAGCCTGTTCGCTTGCTCGTAAACGATCGTAAATTTCCAGCCGGGAACAGTGTTTTTCTCTCACACCAAACCAGCCAGCAGTAAATAATCCACGATACGATACGCGAATAGGCTGAAGGTTTCTTATAAATGATACTTAGATTTGTTGCATTAATGGCTCGACACATGAATAAATGTAGGCACATCCCTACTTCCTCCAAGTTAGAGCTGTGGAGAACAGTAGGTCGAGACCACAATAATCATGGTCTACACCCTCAGCAAGCATCTCGCTCCAGGAATCTGGGCCGTGACTCCATGGCAGTGAATCAAATAGTATGAGTCGCATCATGTCGGCAACTTTCGCAGAGCTTCTTGTTATTGTCTTTAATCTTGGGACTGTAGCTTTAAACCTGCAGGTTGTGCTTGAATGCGATGAGATTCATATCATCTCCTGTGATGGGATATGGAATTGTATGTGATAGTCATACTGCTTGTATTATGGTGTGCTATTATGTGTGTATGATTCTTATTTATATTTCGGGTGATAGTCATTTCGATGAAATACTTTTTTTTGGATCTTACAGATGAAAATATGAGTTGCATCGAATGCTCAAATGCTTTACAATTTATATAGTAACTGGTCCTTTAACTTATTTATATAGATAGGGTATGTGCACGGCTGACCCTAGATGTGCACCGCTGGCCCATAACTTGTTTAGGCGGTGTCATTAATTTCCAAATCTTGGACGAGCAAAGGCGGTGTCATTAACTTCCATATCTAGGACGAGAAAAGCAGCGTGGCCATTTGCCCATTTGATCGATGCCATTTTAGACGATGAGTGTGGACCCCATTAGATTTTCTAGTTTTTTTTATTGGGTATATCTGTATTCTTGTGTAACTCAACACAGAATCATGTTGGTTGAAGTTTTTAAGTTTGATTAGGTTTGTAAAAAAATATTAGCAACATTTATATCTTTAAATAAGTTTATTATAAAAATAGATTTAACGGTCTATCTAAGATACTAATTCTTGTATTATAAATATTAATATTTTTTTGTATATATTTAGTCAAAGTTAAGTAGCTTTGACTTCTTATGAATTGAGAACGATGGTTAAAAAGGAACGGAGGGAGTACATGAGTATATAACATTGCTACCACGTGTATGTTAACTTGTTAAGTAAACATATCACCACTGATTAGTTAGGTTTGAACATTGAGTGAACCACTCATTATATATGCAAATTAATAGTTAGGAAACTTAAATAACAATTAGACGTTTGAATCTTGAATGATCATATATGCAAATAATAGTTCTGGAACTTAAATAACACGAGAGCTTTGAATCTCGGGTGACCATCCATATATGCAAACCAATCACATTATATATGCAAATTAATAGCTCGGTGATTTAAATAACACTAGAGAGGTTTGAATCCAAATGATTATATATGCATAGTTCGGAAACATAAATAACACTAGAGAGGTTTGAATTTAAGTGAACCAGCTACTAAGTTTGTGGACCATCAATGTATGCAATAAATAGTTCGGGGATCTAGTTTGATCAAACACTTGGTAGCGCTTCAACGTCGTAGTCTTATCATTTTCACTTTTCCAGTTGCAATGCAATCGAATGTTTCTACTGTTTATGTGCCGAGGGAACGGCATGGCAATACAGCACGAACTCGGAAAAGGAAAGACATCATGGAAAGCCACTTGCCCACTTGTAAGTTATAGCGCTATATATTGACACGATGCAAATAGATTTGGTTACACTTTCCTTCCGTTGGTTCAACCGTCTACGGTAATTGAACAAATACTAAAGTATATATGGTCAGTATATGTGCGCTTGATCTATTTTGAAGGGACACATGACCCCTGAGCCTTTCGATTTCTACACTATATTGTCTCTGATCCATTTTGTGGCGACCCATTTCTCGCCCTTGATGACAGGGCAGCTACCATGAAGTGAAGTCTGCGACAGCATGTGCAGACGCAAGTTAGCAGCATAAACTATCCAATGTCCACACTTGTCATTTGTAACTCTAAATTGATTTCCATCGCACACAAAATCTAACGTCTACCTCGCAAAGAAAAGAATTTACTACCTCCGTTCACAAATATAAAAGTCCAGGTGCATAGCGAGAATGCTTATATTTGTGGACAGAGGTAGTATATATTCTAGAATAAAAGAACGAACATGAGTTCTACTTCGTGTACAACTTAGAGAACGGGAAACACAAGTACAGGGCCACTTTGATAGGCCAGCACGTACCCGGTCAATGGTTCCATTTACCATAAGGGAGTAGAACAAGAGTCCATCACCCTTCCTTGGTTTTACCTTTAGGCCAATGCACTTTTCATAGTCATAGCCTATATCCATATTCTCACTATTCTGTAATCAGCACAGTACTCATTACAATCTGCTATCAAAAATATATATAAAAACTTTCTTGCACTCACCTCGTATGGGAACATAGTTTCTCCCCCTTCTTCGACATCCGTGAGATAAAGCAAGAATGATGCCACCTGGGAAATTGCGTTTCAATAGCTTGTTAGTTACACAGTTTAATTGAATAATTTCAAGACAAAAACATACACAAACCCAAGGTATAACCTAAAGTACTAAATGTTTGTTATATCAGATGTAGGATTCCCTGGAGGAAAAATGTTACTGAGAACTAGCATTTTCTACTGCATTTGTTCTTGAAAGAGTCAAAGTAATTCAGTTCGCACATCACAACAAATGCTGAAGTTAGCCTGGAGCAAGCAAATTGCCACATACCCTTTGACTTTTTTGTGGACCATACTGGACTGGGTCAAATGCGTCATAATGCGAAGCATACCTTTGTCCAATATTATACCGCAGGACATTAAATGGCTGCAACATACAGTAAAGCAAATAGTTAATCAATGAAACGTTATAAATGCTCATTTTTTCATGCCCTTTTCTAATAGATTCTAAATGATCCCCAACATTGTCCTTTTCAATGGGGGTGCTCAAAATTTGCGCAAAGGAATATATCATCCATATATCAAATGTGATCTTCATTCCATGTAAGGGGCAAGTACATGTGTAACAATAGAAAGATTAAGTTACTGCAAAGATTATATCTAAAACCACAGACACTATAGAAACTTCCTGTTAGATCCTAATGAACAATAAGATTACTTTCAAAGTTATATTTGCATTTGTGGAAGATAATACTACCATATTTTTATTAAGCAACACTTCATATACCAGTACCAAATCAGGAAACTACCAAACCTGCAAAACTTATACTTCAAGTGAAATCCAGTATGCCATGGAAGGATTGAATGCACTTTTCTTTAGCAGCCAATGCATGATAGATTGATAGCACTTAGCAGAAATGATAAATTAACATGGATTATAACTTCTGCTTTAGGTTGGGACTATATTGTTTAATAATTATTTTTCTCCCTGTAGATCACTACATCCCTTGTTATTTTTTTTACTATAACTATTGAGTTGGTTTGTTCCCCAGTGTGCTGGTTCTCATCAGCGCAAAAAAAAAAAAAATGTTCAAGAAAAGGGGACAGGAAAAAAAAGAGAGAGAAAGAGGCACATGTAGATTTCTACAGCTAATCAATTCTCTGACCAAACTTGGAATAATTAAACCACAAAATATGGTATACAAGTGCAAATATTATGTAGTACCTCCCCATGATTTCGGGGTAACATGGTAGCCCTTGCAATCTTCTTCTCGATTTCTGCAAGGGTTTTAGTTGGGTCTTCATTAGCAATGAGGAATGTTCCCGAACTGTTTGGCATAAGGATCCATCAGTTCAATGAGGCTCAGATAATGCCACAAGCTAGTTATTTTCATGATTGTGTGTGGAAGACAAATTGGGTATAAAAATGTCTGAAAATATAGTTCATGAAAACTCTAAAGATCAAGAATACTAATAATCCAACACATGCTCCTAAAAATAGGCAGTTCTGAGATGGCATTGCTCATTGCAGCATAAGTACAATCCATAGAAAAAGCTACTGCAAAATCTCTCCACAGTAATAAATGTGGACTGATTTGTCAGCCTATTTGGTTATTCCTTTACCGCACTTACTCTTGGACTTTAAGGTTACCTTGTCCTGATTCCTTTTTTACTCTCCACGGTTTCTCCTTTCCTCAGGACTAATGTTGATGGCTTCAGTCTCTCCTTTGCAGTTTTTACTATATTTTCACACTGTTCTGATGTCGCAAATTGTGGAAAGTACAAAGCACGAGGCTGCCAGCTCAAAATCTGCTCAAGAGTTCAGAATACATTATTAAAACAGCACAGGTGGATTTCAGGAACATAATGACAAATGGAAAAAAAAAACCAGCAATTTCTAGTGAAGCTGAGGTCATGGTGTATTATGTAACAGAAGAAATACAATTAAAGATATTACTGAATTCTTACCCTGCAAACAAGTAGTGTCAGCCTGCCAGGATATAGGATGCACAGCCATAAGCTAAATGTCAGAAGTCAGATGCGTATCTCGTGTCACGGTGAGAAATCTAGGGTGTATAAATTGTTCGCACGATATCAAATCAACCCATTCTATACCTAAAAAAGTATGCTCAATGTAGCCGATACTCTGCAGAATTGTTCAATGCATAAACACAATAAAATCTAAATGTGCTGCATCCATTCATTGCAACAACTGTTCTTGAGTAATAGGAACCTACATTAGCTGCACGATGGCAGAAACAGAGATACAACTGTGATTGGTGAGGGTGCCACGAAAGTCCCACAACACCCACACCTCCTGCATTTTCCTCTTATGCCAGGAAGCCTGCTAAATTTGAAATGCTTATCAATCTTCAATTTGAAATGCTTATCAATCTACCCAACACGCAAGACCATGAGGCCACGAAAACTGCATGCACGCAACTGACCCCCAAACTCCGCCACAATCACATGCTAGTTATCAGGGCATCACAGCAAAACCGCTGCCCACAAGGTACAGTCAAAATTGGGGAAACATTACACTGACAAGTTAGTTTCACCCCAAAGTGGGTCGCTGCATGATATCATTCACATCAAATACCCAAAAGATGAATTCTACCAACCGAGGAATATCGCCACCAAAGTCAGTTCATTCATGAGCTAGCTTAGAATTAATTCACGAACATACGTGCCCGCACCAATGCTCATCACGCCGAATGTTTGACAAAACAATGGGCAAGCGAAGACGGGGGCAACCGCCCTCGCGGAGATGAAACCGGAACGAGACATCACCTGGTATGGGATTACGGACGGCGCAGCCTCGCCGGACTCGCCGTATGGCATCTCAGGCCACGCCGTCTCCAGCAGCCGCTCCCTCGGCACCGGCATGTCCGCCTCCTCCGGATCCTGCACCGCGCCACCCGCCGCACCGCAGCCAGCCCACCCAGATCAGGAGCGGCGCTACAGGGCAGCAACGAATCGGAACGTGCCGCGGGGCTCGCCGTCGCGTACCTGGGTGAAGAGCAGCGAGCCGAAGAAGCCGGCGAGGAAGAAGAGGGAGCAGGAGAGGAGCACCACGGGAAGCCGCAGTCGCGTTCGCATCAGACCCGCGCCGCCGGCACCTCCGCCGGCGGCCCTGATGACGCCACCTCCCTTCATTCCGCGCGCTAACGGAGAGTCGGAGACGAGGACGATCCGGCGATGAGAGGAGAGGTTGCTCTTGCTCGCGTCGCGTCACGGGAGAGGCGGGTCTTCTCTGAATGAATCTCTGAACGGAGCGAGCGAGTTTATTTGTTCGTCAGGTGTCCGAGCACTGACGGGTGGGACCGAATACTCGATAGACGGGCCCGGTGCGCGACGTCACGTGCCTAAAGAACCCGCAGTCAGTTACGGTGGGCCCAGGAACAAAGTCTACAACTTCACAGCTAGAGAGTGGAATAGGATTTGTTCTCTTTTCTTTTTGCGGGATGGAATAGGCGGAAAAGTTAAAGGTTTAGTGTGAAAAAAATATAAGAGTTAAATACTTTTTTATAAGAAGAGTTAAATCCTTAGAGCCGTTTGGCCTAAGAAATATGATGGCCCATCACCTTCTTATCCTTCACCTTTTTTTTGTGATGAAATGTAATAGATTAGTCTACCACCATCTCAGCCCTTATTATAAGTAATAATCAGCGTGCAGTATAGAATCATTTCATCAAAATTAATAAAGTAGGATGAACTCAAGACGAACCAGCCCATTTATTACGTGGAGGTAAATTCAACATCAATGGGAACGTAAGTGCAACAGCAAGCTACTACTACTTATCTTATCAGCATTTACACTGGAGTGCAACAGCAAGCTACTTATCAACATCAATGGGAACGTAAGTGCAACGGCAGTCATGTGCGGAGAGACACCAGATTACCATATGGAATCCGACATGTGTCCGAGGTATTTCAGCTGATTTTCTGAGGACACGCCAAATACCACTTGAAATTGGTATCCGACATTGGTACGCATATAGGTAACTGAGTACCATAAAAAACTAGCTCATATTACATAGACAACCAGGCGCAATTACTGCAGTGCTAATGAATAGATTTAAGATCAACTGACAATGTATGGTTAGCAACACTGATAACTAGGTCATAACCAGAAGGTTTCAGTTGTTCAAATGCTTACAAAGGAAATGCTTCAACTACATCAATGGGATCTTTATAAAATAAATATGTTTCTTGTTTCACTATATTCTTTTCCATCCCTCCTGTATTTTTGTCACGTCCATTACTCAATTCTCAGATCGGATTCCTCGAAGCAGTATTAAAAGCCTCATATGTTCTTGTTTCCCAAAGCCATAGCTAACACATTGCTGGAGGTACAGCACAGCTTCAGGTGGTATCAGATCAAACAGACCTGTAGCTGCAGACATGCAGCCAAGAAATGCAGATAGAGTGCAAGGTTTACATCGACCGGCCGCGGCAGCGGCTGCTGGCATTTTGTACTCCTCGCTTCCTGCCGCTGGTTGCTTTACTGTTGCCTGTGCAGGCTGGCTGCAGCTTGCTGAACAGGCCCGAGTCACCAGAAACAAGCATAGGTAGGCAACTCATAAAAAAAGGGCACGTGCATATCAATAATCAATCTATCTGCAGCGTAGTTCCAAACTAGACCTTTCTGAGACGAGACACAGCTGCAGGTATAGAATGACTTACTCCTCCGTCTCTAAATGTCTGTAGTTTTCGTTTCTAAGAAATAACTTTAACTAAATATATATTAAAAATATTAATATTTATGATACATAATTAGCATCCTTGATAGATATTTGAATCTAGTTTTTTAATAAATTTATTTAGAGATAGAAATGTTGCACGTATTTTCTATAAATCAAATCAAAGTTATTGACACGTAAAAATGGCGACTAACATTTAGGGACGGAGGAGGTACTTTTCAAAACCCTTCGTGTACAGGGATAACAACCACCCCTCAAAGAAGTACCAGATAACATGAAAGTACAAGTACTCCTGAACTTGAACTGCAGACTACCTGAAAACGGGATGCCAGCTTGGCAACAACATTTCCTATATGCCCAAATTTAGCAGGTGTAACCTCCTTCTTATTGATCCAATGTAAAATCAAAATGAATTGGTTCTTCACACACTCCCTTAGTCTGCACATTGCAAAAGACTTTTAGATGACAGAGCACAGTTGTTGATCGGTATGGTTTGGATTGAATTATTAAATTCTTATAAACATATACCAGATGTCCAAATGTTGGATACCACCATCTATGTGTAAGTTACATGCCACTGTTAGCTAAGAAATATGCATAAACTGAAGTCAAAGACATTGTAATGTAGGATTCTAGCTATCAAACAGTGTCAGATAATTTATCGCACGCTCTGCAAATACTGCTATCATGCCCATATCAAACAGGCAGAACAGTCTAACAGTCTCAGAAAGATGTCCTTATCAGCTATCATATCAAGAAAGAACATTATTTTCTAACTATATCAAGATAATGAAGTCCTCAAACAATTATTGTCATGGTGTCCTCATGTCAATCCCCTTCTCCCCATTAACAATTTTTTTGAACATCTGACGAATATGATATAAGGGCAATTGCAGGAAACTAGTCACATTCCATTGGCTTTCATCCAGCATCTTCAAGATCCAAAGATCTGTAAGCCAGAGCAGCAAGATACATTGCTGGATGCAATCTCCTGCACTTCCAGATTGAAGATCTGAGCTAACAAGTATTCTGGATCTTTTGCATATCAACCAAATAAGCCAATTTTAGTCAGTAAAACACTTGTGAAACTTACTTTTCAGAATGTTCATTGAAACCATCCCATTGTCTTTGAGATGGAATTGTCCTTCCTTTCTTGTGTCTCCCAAATGTTTCGATATACCATCCACCAGCATCATGCATGTAACAACGAGGCTCAAAAAGCCAATATCTGCGAAAGAGGAGTTATATAAGAGGACTGGTTGCTGTTGCCTTCAACAATGATATTTGGGAATGTCTTTCGTCCTGAAATGAATTTGTATCAGGTGCAATTTAGCATGCATTACTTGCTGGGTTACTTCAAGACGAGGGAAAACTAGAGGGGTTGTTTTTCATGGTTCAGAATACTACTTCTGATTGATCAATTGCTCAATTATACATATTTTTTCGAATGACAAGGATATCCTCTCTGGTCCTATAACCAGGAAATCTTGGATCATAAGTCATTTTGCTTTCACTTCATAGAATGGTAGATTTAGAAAGGCCAAAGATTTACTTCCATGTCCCTACCAATCATATATGTAGCTGAACAAAACATGTCCAGGGCATCTATATTTCTGTTGCACATAAAAGTAATGTCGGGCAGCATCAGATCTTCTAAATTGTTTAACCTAAAGGTTTCAAATTTAAGGCTTGTGCTCACACCATTGCCTCATCAGCATTTCAATCATGTCTGGAATGACTAATTTGCATGGTTCGTTTGATACAGAAAAATATATACATGTCCGGCATAGTGCAACATGGGCACACAAGCAGCATAGTAAATTATGCATACCTGCTAGGTGGCAATCGGGCCCTACTACATCGACACTCACAGGGTGAAACTTTATCTCCAACCTGATACCAGTGCATGTGTTTAACCTGTGCAACATATGCAACATCATGTGGTCATATAACCAAAGGCACCATTTATTTTGCATGAGTATTTGAATGATGTAGGCATTCTAGAAAAAACAATGTGCATAGTATAGGAATGTTTTCATAGTTCATACCATCAATGTCCGGTGCTTCATAATGACATGTGTCTTTATTCCGTGACCAAAGGATCTGAAGGAACCGTCGGGAACCAGCAACCGCGGCCGATTTTTTTATTTTTTAGCTCTTTTTTTAAAAAAGTTTTTTACAAATATGTCCCTAAAGGAAAGATTTCAGAATCTGGACCCTTAACTCGGCGTCATCGATGCTGGCGATGAGCTAACACGTCTCGGCGCCTAGCGTCCCTGGCGCCGAGCTCTTGGGCTCAAGACCCACGTGGAGGTGACATGGCAGGGAGCTCGGCGCCGTAGATCTTGGCGCTGAGCTCGGCGCCAGGGTGAATGGCGGTGAGCTTGTGTTTTAACCCCGGCCCCAACCTTCCTGCCCGAGCCTTCTTCCTCTTCTTTCTCCTCCCTTTCGGGTTTTTTCTCTCCCCACTTCGTCCTACCTTACGAATCGGCATATTGGACCTTAGAAACTTTAATTTGAGATCTTCGAGAGCAAGGTATCCTTGCTCCCCTCCTAGTTTTTTTCGCATCGATTCGGTATATATTAGTCGGATTTTTCAACCTAAGAATCGTCATTACTTAGGGTTTCATTCTATCCCTCAATATTTGTATTATACAACCGTAGGATGATGCAAAGGCGTGAAAAAGCTAGTAAATCTAGGCGCATGTAGTTATGTTATGGGTTCATTGTTGTGCATTAAATGGGAAACCCTAGGTATAGGTTTTAATGTTAAATGCTTTCGGTTCTTAGAACGAAATTGGTTGTATTGTAGTTATGGTTCTCATTGACATTTATTTGTAATGTTTTGATTTATATTTGTTAAATTACATCCGTTTTGTTAGATGCAAGAAATGTTTCAGGAGGAGTTTTGGCGAAAACGGGGTCGTCCTCGAGGATTATACCCTGACGCGTCTAGCAAAGATGCCCCGGTCCCTCCTAACCTTCCTGTCCCTAACTGTGACTGTGGTTTCCCAGCCCATGTTTTTCAATCGAAACATCCGGACACAGCGGCGTGGTGCTTCTACACATGCAGTCGTTTTAATGTAAGAAATTGTTTCCACTATCTTTTTTCTTTATTTGTGTAAGTATGCTACTAATATTTTGTTGGAATCTCGATGTGTAGGACCATGAGAGGTACTTTTTCTTTCAGTGGATCGACGGTGCAGACAAGTTTGATTCTAGGTACCTCATTTTTTACGATTGGTTTAGAGAGAGACATCCACGTGAGCACTTCAAGCGATGGGTTCCACCCCCCTAACCCTCCGCCAATGACGGCTAAGGAGAAGCACCTAGCCGTAGTTAGACGACTCGAGGAACCTCCTCAGTGCGATTGCGGAGATCAAAGCTATGATAAACCCTGAGAATACGTTGGAGTTTATGTGTCCAAACAAGCATGAAATAAGTGTAAAGTGT